TGCATGGTACAGGGGCGATTGCTAAGAGATCAGTGCCTTTTCTTTGCACCACCCACACATCCCAGGCCAGAGATTTTGATGAAAAGGGTGCTGCAAAATGGTGGCACATGCGTTTGGAAGAGCGAAGGGAAAGCAGCCCTGGCACCGCGCCAGGCTGGCTATTTCTCCTCATTGCATGCCTTGTGCAGAACATAGCAAACGCTCATCACAAAACATCCACGAGCCAGGGAAGAGAGCCTGGACAAGGAGCGAAGAGAATTTCTGAATATTATAGACAACCTCTGAGAAAACATGCCCCAAGCGTTCAGGGAAACAGGAGCAGTGATGCAACTGGGCTCCTACAGTGAGGCCGAGGGATAGGTTGGGGTAATGAATGTGCTGCAACTAAAACAGTGACTCGTGTTTGTGCACTGGTTATTATTAGGAACTCATAGGATGGAGGGATGTGATGTAAGTGATGTCCCAGCCAAGTTGGGCAAAAAGATCCATTGAGTTAACAAGTAACGCCCACCCCAAAAACACTACTACTTTAATAAAAGAAACCCAGACAGTTAACCAAGAACGTAGGCCACAGACCTGTGCCACACCCAGCCTATGGGGTGCTCACAATCTCCTGGAGGAGGGGCACTCAGGCCTAGCCTTCTGCAGAGGGTTGAGTGAGGTCTTTCCCACACCACAGTCATCCCAATGTGATGTGTTCCACATAGTTGGCAGGGCAAGACTTAGGGGCAGTGCTTGACCATTGCTACCAAAAAAAAAAAAAATCTCTATCATGTCCCTTTCCAGGGCTGCACACTCTCCTGTGAGCCTCCACCATTCTGCCTTCATAGGCTGCAGGGACTGGTTCCCTGAAGGTTTCCTCTTGTCTCTTCCTCATCATTGGAGATTTGAGCTCATTTTATTGGTGCCAGGACCCTGGATGCCCAGGCCCCGGGAACCAGCTGCTGAGGGCAATTGGCATGATCACATTTATTCTCCCAGTGCTAGTCCCCATACCAACAGTGAAAAAACCTTGCTTCTCCCTCTGACTCAAAGGTTAACAGCCTGTAGGAAGCGACTGAAAATGCCTTGTGATTCTGGAGTGGCTCCATGAGCTGATTTCGGCCATTTACCTCAGTTGAATTGTATCTTAATTGAAGTGCACTGGAACACCCTGGGAGCCAGAGTACAGTTCCTGGTGGAGCTGCTGCTACAACAAGCATAAACTGTGTACAGAGTAACCCCCACCATGGCACTGGCTGGGGTATTTGCTATTTATAGCTTTAAGTCTCTGGCACAGGTGCCCTTTTGAGCATGGAGGAGGACGGGGATGATAACTTCTCTCTGCTGGTTTGTCTTCTAGCTCTGCTCAGCTTGGCAGAGGACAGCGGATACCCAGAAAAGAGCTGTTTAACACCCCCTAGACTCCCACCCACAGCATGGTGAAGTGGACTGCTGGTAGATCTCTCCTCCATGGCAGCTTCAGGCAGGCTGCACACACAGGGTTCTTGTGATCTCTGCCTGTGCTGTGTCACACAGTTCTTGTCTACCCAGGAAGACCTCCTCTGGCTTAGACCCTGTGGTGTGGAAAGGACCCTAGACATCTTGGGTATTGTCATGCTGTCTTGGATGCCTTGTAGAAAACAGTTCCTAAGAATGTCATCACGGGAGTCCAGTCCCATTACCTACCCATGTGATTAGCATTACTGGAAACCCTGTTCTCCTCCCTTGCTTTCAGGCACCTCTCACAAAGCCCCTTTGCTCTGGCTGGGCACTGCAACCAGGCCTGGCAGTGCCCCCTCATCTCAGTATCTTGTAGATGTCTGCAGTCCAATGCTGGACATTGCTCTTGCAATCCAACTCAGGTGGTCTCCAGGAAATACAGGGCATGAACTCACCCCTATCTGGTACTGTAGAGGGGCAAAGCTGGCTGCATGCCACCACTTAGAGTATGGATCCAGTCAAGATGAGCCCAGAGCAGAAGGCAGCACAGACAGGCCAATCCAGATGTGAAGCAGTGCAGTGTAGGATAGCAACAGGAGGAATGCCAGCAGCAGAGTAGTTAGTAATGCATCCATGTGAACCTTAAGCAGACAAACTGGAGTCACTCCTGTTCTAAATAGGATTCATTACAACAGCCTGAATCTGGCAACATCCCTCTTTAGACGAGCCCCGACTCTCACAACCACGGTGAGCTTCTAGCCATTTTACAAAAGCACAGAGATCAATTGCATCTTCCAAGATCGCAGCATCAGCACTGGGGATAGAACCCAGAAGTCCTGAAATGGAGGCTTTGGACCTGACCTGTTTGCATGGCTTTTCGGGTTGCTTGCTAGCAGCATAATACATAAAAGAGCAGGAGCCTACAATGCTATTTGTGCTCAGAACTCAGTGACATCCTTATGAGTTAGGGTAGGGGAGTGGTGGGTGTGCTCCAAGATGAACTCGCACTGGAGTGATATTCTCACCTGAAAGCCACTAAAAGATGGCACCATGGAACCCCATATTTGTAAGGTCTCCCTTATCCCAGGGGGCTCACTTTACACTTATTACAATAGCACAGAGGTCTCAACTGACTTAGGGAATCCCACTGTGTTGTGACCAGTACCTGCATCTAGCCAGAGGGGAAACCAAGGCACAGGCGGGGAGAGAAAGAAGAGGAGTGACTTGCCCAAGGTCACCCAGCAAGTCAGTGGCAGATCTGGACTAGAACCCAGGTCCCAAGTCCCAATCCAGTGGCCGACGCTTCCTCGTTCCTTCTTGCAATCAACAACTATCAGGTTGATTAATTTTCCAAGGGAAGCACATTGTGCTCTGCAGCAATCCTGTTTTTATTGGAGTGGAACAATTCTGTTACGAAGAGAGTTAGAATCCAGGCTGCTCTGAGTTAAGAGGAGTCCTGGGTGCTAAGAACTCCTCCACCTGATGACAGGACCATATTATAAAGGGATTTTTAGTAACAGCCCCCCTGCTCTCCCCCTCCCCCCCTTTATCAGA